CAACATTAATGTCAGTCAAGTCAGTGCTTCCATGTAGTGGTTCAGAAACTTGGCGCCTTATGAAAAGCATTTCCAACAAACTACAGATATTCATCGACAGCTTCCGTCTAAGCTCACTCGATACTGACACTGAAGACCTGATGGTCAGAATAATAATGATGAGAATAAGCAACAGGGAACTTTGGCTGGCTGGCTGGCAACGAACCAACCAAGAACCTATCACCCAACAAATCTGCAGAAGAAAGTGGAGATGGATTGGATTGGACATACACTGAGAAGACCTATTGGGGACACCACGTGCCAGGCCAGGCCAGGCTAGTCCAGGCCCTCGAATGGAACCCAAATTGGAAACGACGAGTTGAGCATCTGAGGCGATTGTGATATGGAGGAGATCGTGTGAGGAGGGAATGAATGGTTATGGGCAGTTGTGGAGCCAGGTTGAGAAGACTGCAGAGAAGAGAGTGAAATGGTAACTTGAAACTGAAGCCCTTTGTTCCACTGGGAACCCAAATGACAAATAATAATAATAATATGGTTGTAAAATCCTGCAAGACTGTTTTTTGACTGAGTGTAAAAGGCCTGAAGCAAGGGTTTTTGACCTGCTGCTATTCAGTAAATATACGTTTTTTATTCTCTAAGATACATGATTTCCAGTTACTGTAGTTCCAGACACCAATTTTACATAAGTGGTAAAAGATCCATGTGAATAGTTCCATCCTTAGCGAAATTCTGCATGTATTGGAGTACAGGAATATAATGTTTTTGACAACATTTCTGTCATTCACTCACAACTGGATGTATGTATTTTACTACCATATTTTACAAGTTAATCAGACGAATTGCACTTATGTTGCCTCTAGTTCCTAAAATATGCAGCTTAGTGAAGTGCAAATCCGCAAGACGGTTCAATGAAGGTGGGAATACGTTTTCAGGATGTCAGTTCGGAACATTTATGCGTGATTAAAAGAGATGTTTACGGTCATCTTTGCTCCGGATCCTTAATATTTTTATTAGTGGTATTTTGGATCAACGTTTTTATCACCTCAGAAATGCTGCTTAGCTGATCGGTCCAATACCGTCATTAAATAACCAGTTTACAGTAAGATTGGGCATCGGTCTTCTTTTTGCCGTTAATCAGTCCCAAAAAGATCATTTAATTCAGTTCTTTATGAAATAATCTTGAATACTAAATTTCTAATGTTTATCAAGGTCATGGTCATCTTGGATATCGGGTCAAAATGGAAACCGTTCTTACTATTAATTTGGTTTTCAGAATCAATACATTGGTAGCGAACAAAGTTTTTATCACGAGGCTAAGGATATTGGGAAATAAAAGGCTCTAAGTACTGGCTAACCATTTTACGAAATATCAGTACGGTGCTAGTCATCTTTTTGAATAATCACTAACTGTAAGACTTCAGCTGAATTTCGAAGGTTCGAGGCCAGATGATTTATTCAGATTTTAACTTTTCGGCAAAACCACTGTCATTCCTTCTTTCCGGAAGAACTTTGTGTACTGCCTTACTGATGGCTTGAGAAAAGGTGAACCTTGACCTTATTCTCAGGTCGTGTTAGTAATTTCGGTTCATTATAGAATGTAGGCAAGCGTGACTAAATTGCAACAGTTCGAAAAGATTGCACAAAACTTGTCATTATTTTCCCGCATACATTTCCTAAAAGATAATTTGTTGATCTCTGTCACTAAACACGATCAATTGTACTGGATGAACACTTGTCCAAACTATGTTAACAGAAAAAAAGACTGAATACTTTTGAAAATAAACAACATTTTCACTCTCAAAGTATTACCCGTCTGACAGAGAATAAGGAGTGTGCATCACGAGATGAACTTGATAGAAATGATGGCATTTGACGATTGAAACTCTTTCTTCCTTCACTTGGATAATTAGGATCATAATAACTCGGTCCTAACTGTAAATATAAGATGCGAAAACTAAGTGCAAAAACAATACTTTCAAGTTTATATAATGTAAACAAGAACATGTATTTGTCGTACATTGCATAAAGTTCGTAAGGGTATTTTGAAACATCATCAAGCTTGATTGTGCTGAAAAGAGAGGCAAATATCAGCAGTTCTAATTTTTAATGTCTTGTCATCCCTGAATATCTGGTCCCTCTCAGTAGTTCCTACAAAGTAATTCACAGAGTGCCTCCAAAAGTTCTAAAGGCCTTCAACTACTTCATCTATACCAAATCGAATTGTAGGTAATTCACAACTGTAAATTTGATCAAAAAAATAACGTGCTTTAATCTTATTCCGTGGAATGGGCAATATTTTAAACTTCATTACCGTTTGTCAGACGGGACAGCTGACAGCTAAATCTCAAAACAAAAGTATACATTTTGAGGTTCAGAAATACGTTTCGTATACACTCAAAGTATTACTTATCATTTCCATAAGAATTTGGATATTGCCAGAGTTTCTGCTTAAAAGATCCACATGATTTGTATGGTCCATTTCGACTGTAGTGAAGTTCATCCTTGCAAAGTCAGAAGAACAAATGTAGACCTCTATGAAGAACCTTATGACAAAGTTAAATAAAAGTGAAGGCAGCCTGCATCTTCCTATTCTTTTAGGGGAAAAACCTCATAGAGTCCATGGCTTGGTACTATTTAGTGGTCTGGTTGTAGGGATGCGTGTTACAATTCCGTAACGTTTGATCACCCTACTTAACTTGATGTGCTCTAGTACCTGCTTAACCAGTACTTTACCTAACGTGTAAGTACTGATAACAAAACACAAATCAAAAGAACTGATACGCAATGTATTTAAAGGAGCTATGTATTTAAGGTAATGTAATAATAATGAATGAGGGAAAAGTTTAATCAACTTATCTGGCTTGCAAGGCTGAACTAGGGACTCGGAGTACGTGCGTGGTGATCAGCACAATGGAGCGCAAAATGGCGTCCAAGCCTGCTCGGATGCATGCTCGTTAAAACAAAACTTAAAACACCCCAAGCATCCGGAGGCAAGCTAGAGATTTATTTAGTTAATTTAATTTAAACTATTTATTTTAGCCCTAGTTATATTTTGGTGCCAGGAAGGTGCACTACATGGTCATCCTCTACGTAGTATACTACTGGGTGACACGAGTAGTTCTAGACCACTCGTACCGATTATCAGTGTTCAGATTATATAATTTAGTCTGAATATTTCGGTTTCCATAGGAAACCATGCTGAAATTTTCCACCCTGGACTACATATATCCGCAAACATCTTATTTGGTTATCCTCTACTTTCTTCAAAGGAGAGCTGCTTCAGGTGACGTACAGCACATTAGGACAACAACTAGATATGATCATCAGCATGCTACATCAGTTCTAGACTTACTACTCTCACATACAGATGATGTATGCTTCATCCGGCACCTAGCACCCCTTGGTAAAAGCGATCACGCTGTGATCATCTTCATATTCACAGCTGACGTCTTGTACCGGGCCGATGCCCTCGTTAGACCCAACATATGGCGTGGTTCTTCTTCAAACGGTTATATGCACGAGTGACCCAATCGTTTATTCTGTGCACTGTCCCGAGGGGACGGAAACGCTGTCCTCCGTAGATACGCCAAGAAATCCTTATCTTGCTACGACTCAAGAAAAAGTGTTGGAGTCTTGCCATACACCTCAGTACACCCGAAGTGGTGAAGCATTACAAAGAAGCCTGCAATAAATATATCGTTGCTATCCCCCGGTCTCTAATATGCTTTGAAACACTTCTTTTCCAGGCTGCATTGGAACATCCGAAGAGGTTATTTTCCTAAATGAACTATAGAAATAAGATGTATCGTGGTATACCCACCCCAATCAATTGGACTGAAGCTGATTGTTTGATTGAGGACGATAGGTAAAAAGCAGAAGCCATGGCTGGATATTTTGCTGAGGTCTTCACACGGGAATCTTCTGTGGACACTTATCCAATAGTAGAAGCATTGACATCCAACAGAATAAACTCTGTGGATATCGATCGCCATGATGTATTTCGGATATTTGGTAATCTCGACGTGGAAAAATCAACGGGACCGGATGAGCTGAACCCAAGGCTGCTCAGAGAGCTTGCACTATATGTAGCCGGCCCTTCAACTACTATACTCAAACTGTCTCTCAGTGAAGGCACACTGCCCCACGACTGGAAGGATGCCATAGTAACACCTATCCACAAGGCGGATTCTAGGCATCTCCCATCAAATTACAGACAAATAAGTTTGACCAGTACTGTAGTGAAAGTCCTAGTAAGAGTAATCAAGAAAGGCATCGCAGTCAACCTAGAGAGCAACACTCCATTCTCTCGTTCACATCACGGTTTTCGTAGAAATTTCTCTTGCTTAAAGAACCTCCTTACAGTCAGAGAAAGTTGGGTTAAGTCTAAAGATGATAGGACACCGGTAGATGTCATTTTCATTGACTTTAGTAAGGCGTTTGACAAAGTAATTCATTCCAGGTAGCTCGCGAAACTGAAAAGTTTTAGAATCACTGGCAGTCTGCTCGCATGGATAAGAAACTTTCTTGTCGGTAAGAGACAAAAAGGTGGGATCAATTCTCAACTCTCCACTTGGAAGTCAGTAGAGAGTGGAGTACCGCAAGGCACAGTCCCGAGCCCCCTGCTGTTTCTCCTATACCTAAATGAGGTGCCGAATATCACGAAATTCCCTATGGTTCTCTGCGCTGATGATGTGCAAGTCTGGCGGGAAATTAGGAACGATGAGGATATGCTTGTGCTTCAGGCAGATATGAACAGCCTGGTTACCTGATCAGGGAAGTGGCTGGTGCCTATCAATGCAGGCAAATGTGTTAGCTTGCACTTGAGGCACACACACAGCAACACCTATGATATCGATGGGACTCAGTACTGACCCATAATGAGCTAGAAATCACAGTGAGTTATGATATGAAAACCACAGCTCACTGTCAATCGGTAGCAGCTCGGAGTCTTAGGACTCTCTGGGTATTACGTAGAAAGTCTGCGAAAATAAGTGGTGACATGTTCACCATCTTACACACATCCTCAGTTAGACCTAAATTAGAGGAATTTACACAGGCATTAAATCCTTGACAGAAGTTTGATGGAGATTTTCTAGAAAGAGTTCAGAGGGCAGGCACTCTCATGATCCTTGCGATGGCTGGCGTCACCTATGAAGACCGACTTAAGGAGATGAAGCTCTTCACTTTGTCCTATCGCAGACAGAGGGGTGACCTAATCATGCTATACAGGATTCTAAAAAGTGACTTCGGACCTGGTCTGTCTTCTCTTTCCTTTCACGCTATGTCGGAACACCTCAGAGGACATAGTAGGAGACTACAAGAGCAAAGAACGAAAATTGTCCCCGCAGAATACTGGTTCTCGCTTCGAGTAATCAACGACAGGAACCGACTCCCAGAAGAAGTGTTGTCCGCATCATCAATTGACTCATTCAAAAGACGATTGGACAAGTACAGAAATCTACTGGAAAAGGATTAATATAGGCTCACAGCCTCCTATCTTCAAACAACAGATCTCAAATGTGAATCTAACATTTCTCATAGAGGAAGATGATATGCTTAAGACATAATCCCGTTACTACAGCTTTTATTACATTTTGTGAGTTTTGAATGGTACAGGTTCACGAACGCTTTTGGAGTTGAACGTACGATAATAAGGCCTTGTAAATAGTTGTGGTGATTTTGAACCACTGGAATGCAACTCAAATGGTAACAACACTTATTGAAATCGTGGCACAGTATAAACTGTCCTTTGTACTTATGTTCAGTATCAGTCCCGCTGAAATGCTTTAGTTATGAGTAATCCAGCTGACTTCGTCTAACATAAATATTGTAAACAAATAAGAATACGAAATCCTTGTATAGCACAAACATCACAGTGGAATGACGTACCAAGACACCTACAAACGGTATAGCTGTCACTGAAATGATAAGTGGGGGGCAAATAAAGAAGGTGAGTCATAATAGCTGTTAAACAATTTTCCTCTTGTTTATTTATTTGAAACTTGGTTACTTTAGGTCTCTGCTGTTGCTACTTATTAGCTGTAAGTGTAGTTTTAATTTCTCAGAATAACTTAATTTGAATTATTTTGCCCTTTTTATATAAGTTACCATACACTGCTTCCTATCTGTAAAAATGATAACTTGAAATGTCACACAGGCCAACAGGTAATCTTACAACTTGTTTCCAAGCAAAATGAAAAGATGACTCGGAATTGGTGGAGAATGAAAATACAGAATTTGAATCTATTAGTACGGAACCTGTGTATTTTCAAGGTACTTATTCTTCTCCACTATTCACTGTTTATAATTCAATAAATACTGTAATACTGAGCAGTCAAGTAAGTTATTCTTACTTTAGAAGCAATAAGTTTGTTTTGTACACTAGTAGAATAACATTTATCCATCTTCTTATTTTCATCCACTAGTCGACGGAATTTTCCAGTATACCGCTTCTCTGGTCTCAAAAGGTCTGATGTGAACGATCTGACTGGATATGTCCCTGGTTCTGGGTACTCAGATACCTTGAGTAGTAAGTAGTAAGAAGCAAACGTATTATCAGCAAACAAAATTCACGTGTAATAAAATAGATACTTGCATTTTGTTGAACAATTCATCATTATTCTAATACAAGACTATGTGTGATGTAGATTTATAAAGGTGTCTGTTTGTATTAGTGGCCTATAGATGTCCTGCTGAATTCTAATCCACATACTTCCACTTAAAATTACGCCATAGGTGTAACTGAAAATGAAATACTTGAAAGGGGCAGAGCATTTCATCCATATCACAGAATACATATGCACTGATTTTTCAATGTTAATAAATATATAGTATTACTGGATCGTGGCTAGCAGTGGAATCCAGGATGCGCATTTTGTCTTATTTGGACTTTTCGGCTCGATGTACCTGCTCCCCAGTGAGTGATATTGTTTCCATCAAGACTGGGACTCGGTAGCGATCGTTCCAAATGCCAGAGCGTTATCCACTGCACCACCGAGCCACGATAGCCACTTCTTGTGCGACGGGTATAGTTTTAGTATAATTGTTTTTATATCATACCGTCGTTGATTGGACCGAATTGATAGGTCTGTTTTGACATATGGATCCCACTGCTAGCCACGATCCTACATTAATATAATTAGGCCACAGGTAATATCGAGGCATCCGCACAGGAGCCCATATATTAATAAATATATGTTCTCATCTAAAAAGTCATGTTGCATTTGTCAGACATAATAAGCTAAGAATACTAGATGATTCCAGGTCAAAAGTACAACTGATGAATGGAATTTCAGTAACCAAAACAAGATATTTATCCTGGATTGCGGCATCATAGTGATAATTTAAAGAATTAGCAATAGTCGTAATACTCAAATTTTTGGCTGTAACTTTCTCACACAATCAGATCACGACATGTTCATTGGATAAATAAGATAGGAAAGAATGTACATGATGTGCTGAAAATCGATAAAGCTGAAGTAGCTACCTCAATCAGCTAACTAGGAGTCAACAATACAAGTGAAGCACCTGCAATTGCATTAGACAGTGTATGAGGGAATTATGGGCTCTCAGAATCAGAAAATTTAAACACAGTCCGAACTTTTAATGTATTATTAATGGTAACTATCTCCGATCAGCAACCTGAAGTTTATTTTATTTAATAACATGCAAACCTCCACTCACTTTATCATAGCTTCTTGGTCCTGTCATCAAATCGTAAGGGCCACGGTTTCCAGTTTTTTTATTGAGTAGTTCTTCTATCGATCCACTGACTTCATAAGTACCTGGTGCTAAGTGACACCCCTTTGTATAAAAATTACTCTAGGTTTTGAAATGAATTACCGTAGATGGAAGAGAACGACTCCCATCTCCACCACGTTCCAACAAGCCTTTTGTGGATGGAGACTTGTGTTTTGCATCCATTTCCTCTTTGTATAAATACGGGTCACCTTTAACACCATAAGTACCCACTCCAGGGTTATCATTCTAAATAAAAGATTCATATTAACAAGTTTAAAATGGGAGCAATTTTACTGTTTTGGACTCTGGAAAACGAACTTCTCTTGTATTTATAGGCCCTATAGATTCAGAATTTCCTTTAACTTTCACTTCTCTTGATATGTTGTATCGCCCAGGTCCAAGATTTCTTTGCTGAGAAACACCCAAAATAAAATAACGGCAAGAATTATAGCATTTCTGAATTTGACTACATTTCTTGAACGAAAACATTTCCCAGCTAGTTAGCAATTATCACAATGACATCATGTTAACGAAAGATGGGAACCAATAGGCATTTTCATAGCATATCAGTGACCCGCTAAATACAACCATCCCTCCAAGAAGTCTTAAGTTTGGAATCACTTATACTTGGCTTTGATCAATAACAATGTTGTTAGAAACAGTGGATGAGTTGACAAACTATTACTCCTATACTCTGAATCCCTTAACTGAGTTGATTTTGGTAACCGACTTAATTTTGTTAGTAGGTCATTACTAGTCCAATGCATTTGAGGGTTTAATTTTCTCTTAAAGTAAACTGTACATGAGACCAATACCATATTTCCAGATTTTTGAAACTAAACATTTTGGCGGCTTTTGAGCAGGTTTATCTATTTAACTGCAAATGTGAAGAACTGGTAAAATATGATAAGGTCTCTTACAGTCAAAGTGGAATAGGTTCAGTTTGCAGTTTACCTCCTTTAAGATATGTTACGGATGCATCCTATCAATTAATAAGATATGATTTACACACAACAACCCCATATTTCAAATGCAGGCTGATGGTGTATAGAGGGTTTGAAGTTGTCTGCTATGCATTGGCCTACTACATTTAGAAGTACGCATAGAATCACTTAAGGTAGTTAGTTATTACTAGTCTCTGTCCAGACTGCCAAACAAACTTTATTAGTATGCTGCCTCCTATGGCAAAGATGTATGCTGCGCAATATCTCATGTACATTACTTCAAAGGTATACTGAAGTTCAAATATTATTCAGATCCCTACTTTACTGTCATTCTAATATTTGCTTGTCAGAATCTTAAGTAATTTATTGGCCCAGTTTTTATTCACATAATTACTACTGGCAGGATATTGGTATACATTTTCAATAGAAATATACTAATCCATGAGCTTTTAATACATTTATTTGCAACAGCAATGAAGTGATTAACCAGTATTACGAAGTACTGATTTGTCAAATATGAACACAACTAGACCAAATTAGTGGGCGAAAAGATCTAGTACCCCTTATTTTCGTCAACAAGAAATAGTGATAAAATTTGTTTTAATGTACGTGTCAAGTGTGGAATCTTCAGCCAATGATATATACCAGTTAGTGAGGTTGTAAACCTTCGTTGATTCAAGTGGTTTGGGCAGGCTTAGGCACTATCTTCCAGAATGCACAATGTCAGGTGAAGTAGGTTTAGGCTATAAAACGTTTAAAGACACCAAGAATTAAACGTAGCATCAGCACATGAAAACTCTGACCATTTGTCATCAGCATATAGGGGAATTTATAATTTTTGTTAGAGTTCGGTATGACAATTGAAATTGGTAGTTGGAGACTCTAGGCACTATGACACAGAATCTGTTTCGCATTCGTAGATGCAAAGGTACATTATCTTCATCTCAAACGCCGTATTACACTTCATTATCTGCTCTACCATCTCTTTTTTTCTTCTGATGACTTTCTATGACTTAATATCTTAATCCCTTTTCTTATTTTTCAGTCTTTCAGATTCCTTTCTTCTTGATATGCTCTTGTGTAGAGTGGTAGCTTGGACCTGTTGATTCTGACTGCCTACATAGAACATGGAAGCCATTTCCCATAAACCGACACCATCGCTTCTAACTTTTGACCAGTCTAGTACTCCAACTAACTAGTCATGTTAACTGTAGTTATCATGACTAGTTCCTTCAAGAAAATACTGAAGTTCATCATATACAAGAACGTACGAAGTGAACAAAGTCAAATTTGTAACTTTGTTAATACACTTACAGGATTCGTTAAGCTTTTATGACTAAAACTGGAAGTAAACATCTCAGACACATCTCGTTTTTGAGATCACATGTTTATTGACGCCTTCATAAGCTATGAAACGATTAGTAACTTTGATGAATTTGTATAATGTAACAAAAAGACGAAGTTTATCTGGGAAACGTGATGAATATGCGCAGTACATCTCGAACAATCTGAACACACACACAGCGAAGGCATTTTTACATGAAGGTGAATTCAGTGTGTGGTAAGACATTTAAATTAGGATAATACAAGATTTGAAAAATAATGGATAGATAATCCATTTTCACACCACTCTTGGTATTAAAATAAGATAAAAATTGCCAGGGACGTCTTGAGATAAAGACAATTTATTATGAATATACTTAAAGGTTCAGGCTTCCATAAACCCTGGCATACGGTCATGACAGCTCTTGTCCCATAATAATGGTATAAAGAGTGTTTTCAGGTCAATCAATCTTATGATGTCTTCCAATAATATGTTTGCCAACAGATGAGGACGTCCACAGTCCCTGTATTTAGCGGACAATTCAGATGTAATTGTTTCTCCAACTTTTTGGAAATTAGTTCCATCAAGCTTGACTTCATAGTTCGATTGCTCCTACAAATGTGTATCACCTCATACAAATGTAAATTAGTATACACATCAGGATGCAGTGTAGTCATTTATTCAGTGGCGAGGTTTATGCTGGAGCAGAGATTTTATTTTCTCTATGATAATAAGTTTGGCTCCACAATCTATATTTTTAACAACTGAATAAAAATCCCGTTTTCAAGTCACATTTTTTTGATTATTTTATATGGTAGCGTGATGTAAGTGTCATTTTTTGGGAAAGAATACTTAGTAGTTCGGAAAGTTGAATCATCTTTGTACTGACTCATAAATTTCATGGGTTATGTGTTATTCAGCAGTGCCTACGTCAAAAATTTGATTAATTCTTCGACTGCATCTATTGCGCAGATACGTTGGGTGCATTTGAATAAGTACTTTACTAAACTTTGTTTTTATCGTTTTCAACAGAAGCTATAAAAATTTAGGTATCGTCCGGTCTACAGAAGGTTTCTGTAAACTGATCTTTTTATTAATTCAACTTCCCTTCTAGGTAATATATCAATATATCAATAATATATCAAGGAAAGCAAAATGACTGTCATTTTCACAATATAAGCTAATATAGCTTTGTAAGGCATTAGGTCGCTCCAAAACGCTTGCTTTGTCCTCATATTTGGTGCACTTTACAGAAGGATTTTATGGATTCAATCCTCAGCCAGAATTTCGACATGAGACAAATAGACATCAATTAACAATCATCCTAAACGATTACTCATAGCTATGCCATCAACTGTGTGAAAACGTTTAACTTCGAAAGTAAATCGAACGATATCGCTGGATGGCAGTTATTGTTCTTATTTGGATATTCTGGAAGGAAGAGAAACGAAGAATAGTTTTATTATTTTATTGTTATTTGTCTCTTGGGTTCCCAGTGGAACAAAGGGCTTCAGTTTCAAGTTACCGTTTCACTCTCTTCTCTGCAGTCTTCTCAACCTGGCTCCACAACTGCCCATAACCATTCATTCCCTCCTCACACGATCTCCTCCATATCACAATCGCCTCAGATGCTCAACTCGTCGTTTCCAATTTGGGTTCCATTCGAGGGCCTGGACTAGCCTGGCCTGGCCTGGCACGTGGTGTCCCCAATAGGTCTTCTCAGTGTATGTCCAATCCAATCCATCTCCACTTTCTTCTGCAGATTTGTTGGGTGATAGGTTCTTGGTTGGTTCGTTGCCAGCCAGCCAGCCAAAGTTCCCTGTTGCTTATTCTCATCATTATTATTCTGACCATCAGGTCTTCAGTGTCAGTATCGAGTGAGCTTAGACGGAAGCTGTCGATGAATATCTGTAGTTTGTTGGAAATGCTTTTCATAAGGCGCCAAGTTTCTGAACCACTACATGGAAGCACTGACTTGACTGACATTAATGTTGGAAATCCGGATATCATTCACGCTTTATGCGGAGTGGAGTGGAGTGCAGTAAATCTCCACACTGATTTCAGGTTAATGAAAGCCTGTCTTGCTATCTTTTCGATGCTGACTGGCTTTGACGTCCTCATCTGTGCCTGTGCCACCGCTTGTAGTTGAAACGATGCTGTCTAGGCAGATAGGTGAAAGAGACTACTTCCTTTAGGTTTCTCCCGTTCATGGTGATTGATGCTTGTTGTTGGTTGGGTATCTTCATCACCTCTGTCTTCACGTTCACTTGAAGTCCCGTCTTCGCTGCCCTGCCTCTTCAGTCAACTTGGTTTTCGCCTGTAAATCTTCGAGTTTGTGCCACAAGACATTAGACATAGATGATCATCGGCGAAATCTAAATCTTCTTCTCGGGTATTTTCATCGGTCCAGTCAGCGTATGCCCCTCTTCTCACTCCTCACAGTTTTGTTGCATAATCCAGTCCATTCCAGTCCAGTCCAGTTGACCACAATCAGGAAGATGATCGGTGATAGTAGACAGCCTTTTCTTACTCCTGTTTTCACTTCGAAGGCGTAGCTGAGCATTCCATTGTGAATCACTCGGCTGGCATGTAGCATCATATAGCATACCATATAGCTGTTGAATGAGGTTGACAAAGGTGCGTGGCACTAAAACCGTAGTGTTGCAGCAGTTTTCGAATTACTTCTCGGTCGACGCTGTTGAAGGCCTTTCTAAAATCCATGAAGTTGAGGTTGGGTTGAGTTGACTGCCATTCCATGCTCTTTTCTATGATGATGCATAGCGTAGCATTGCAATTTGATCCTCACATGATTTGTCCTTCCTGAAGCCAGCCAGCCAGCCTGTTCCGGTCGTAGTTTTGAATCCGGAGCACTTTTCAATCTCTCCAGTATGATGCGGCATAATATTTTGTTCAGGGTGGACACAGACAGGAGCATGATTCTGCACCAGTTCTTGCAAGGACTTAGGTCTATCTTCTTTGGGAGTTTGACAAGGTAGCCCTTCTTCTAATCAGCTGGTACCTTTCATTCATCCCTTCCTTCCTTCCAAACCTTCTGCAATAGTGGTGTGAACATGTACGCTGCTGATGTCTCTGTGTCTGTTTTCACTGCTTCTTGTGGAATTCCATCTGGTCCTGCTGCTTTCTTGGGTTTCAGCGACTTTATGGTGTTCAGGACTCCTACTTTTGTTGTAGGGCTTGTGTATACTGGTAATCCTGTGACTGGGCTGCGGGTGGTATTTCTGGACGAGTTGCAGGTGGTGTTGGTGGTGGTCGATACAAGAGCTTTTGAAGTGGTCAGCCCATCGTTTCCTTTGTTTCTCCTCTCTAATGGTAACTGGGTTTCCTTCACTATCTCTCATTGATTACATCTGAGTTGATCTCTTCCCTCCCAGATAGTAGCCTGGTTATTTGATACAGTGTTGTCAGGTCTCTGTCTCTCCTACCAGCAGCCTGTTCTGCTTTACTTGCCAGTGTGTTGTAGAAGTGTCTTTTGTCTTTGCTTGCAGTCTCCTTCACTTCTTTGTCCAGTGTAGTGTTTTATAGGTTGTATTCAGTTCCTCTTTCCGTTGTTCATCCATGCACTGCACTGATTTGTCGTCTGCCTCTCTATCTTCCTCCCATCTTTCAGCTTCCATGTTTCCGTCGAGATTCATTCCTTGTCTTCTTTCTTCTTCCATCGAAATACGGTTATGCAGGTTTCCTTCTACGTCGCTTTTATAGAGTTCCAGTTTTTACCCACGCAGGTTTCTTTGTGAATGTCTTTAATGTTCCTCATTGTTTCCTGATATCTGACGTGAAGATATCCGTTTTAGTTTCGTCCTTTAGTTCATTTTCTGTTCTGGGTGTTCAAATTGATAAGTAGTCTATCACCAACTTTTCAAGTCTTTCGACTTATATTGGAATGTTCCTTGCCCTAGATAGTGAGTGGTGTGAAACTACATCTGCTCCTCTTCTTGATCTTGTGTCCAGTAGGCTGCATCTCCACTTTCTTCAGATTGAGATGAAGTCGATCTGACTTTTATTGTGTCCATCTGTTAAAATGTATTTTGATTTGTGAATGATCTTTTGCTTGTACACAGTGCCTTCAATCACCAAGTCGTTGAATGCTCTGAAGTCTGCAAACACTTCTCCATTCTCACTCATAACTTTACCGAGTCCTTCGCGACCCTTCTTTTCCTATGTTGTCTGCTCCCAGCTTGGCATTCATGTCACCCATTAGAATTTAAATGTCGCCAACTGAGGTCTTGTCCAGTGCTTATTGCAGTTGTCTATAGAATTTCTTCCTCTTCTCTTGATCTGTATTATTTGTAGGTGCGTAGCATAACATTGTATGCTTGTGACTTCCCTTCCTTTTGAGTTGAACCTTGCTGTCATCATCCAGCTGGAGGAGATTGGTTCCCACTGTATGAGAGCCTTCGGTGTTCTGAGGGACATCATGACAGCCACTCGAAAACTCAGTGTGCTCGTGGTTGTCGTCTGGGTGACAATATCGAAGTAGATTACTGACTCTCCGGTTGACAGTTTGAAGAGTCCACTTCTATTCCATCTGACTTCGTAGATTCATGTCACTTCTAGTCTATACCTTCTCATCTCTTTTGTAATCTGGGTAGCTTTGCTAGGTTCAAACATCGTGAGGACATTCCATTTCCGCATTCTTATTTTCGCTTTCATCGGGAAAAGAGGAAATATCGGCCAACTGGCTTCCCAAAGGCTTTCACCAACTGACGTGATTTCGTCTCTCTGATTCCAACGAGGAATAAGTTTATTTTTATGTTATATATTTTTCTTTGTGCTTTGAAATTTCTTTAGCGATTGGATTGGTTTTCCGGGATAAGGTTGCTAGCCCTATGCCCAACCTTCCCTTATTATCCGGGTTTAGGACCGGGTAGTAACTAGTGAATTAGTTAACCAGGCTAAGTTGAAGAATGGTTTACAGGGGTATAATCATAAAGAATGTCAGTACCCTACTGAAGTAACAGTAAGGTAGAATAAATGACCATTGGTTATCGCAGGTATGTTGTGGTTGCTAATTTCTCAGTGAAAGTAAAATTACAGTAGTGTTCTATTCCAGAACATGTATGGTTCAAAGCTAATATCCGTTTGACTTGTCCATTTTAAGGAAGAGCTTTTCTGTTGGCAATCAATGCATTTTCAAAATTACCAAAGGTTGTCATTATAGAAAATGCATCTGCTATAAAGGAAATTGGAAACAGAAAAATATTTCGTCTTTTCTAGCTGTTCAGTGTAATTGTTACTGACAATTTACGATGACATAGTGATGTCATGAGTTCGTACAGTGAGCTAAAGTTGTTGTGTGTTTTAAGAAGTAAAATATTCCAGGAACGAAATCGTATATGTTAAGGTTTGAGATTCAAATTCACTCTTGGAAAACAATCCACCTGAAGACTTAAGCTTTTTAAACGTTAAAATCTGCTAGCAAGTTATAGTTTTGAAGTTCTAATGTAGTGATTAAGCCTCGAAGACTCAGACAAGCATGCTGCTCACGATAAGCTAGCGAAGGTATTATCAGGCTATTCAAATACCGAAACAGAGCTAGTCCCTCCAAAAAGAAGTGGGTTGACTTGTATCTGACTGGATGTGACCACTTAAGGGTTCAGATCATAAATTAGAAATATCATTTAACATGAGAAACAAACTCAGTGGAACTCTGTAAACCTGCACCTTCCTCGATGTAACCGACCAGCAGAATTTGTGAAAATCCACTACCACCTATCTAAATATGATGTTACACCTGAGGTTAACAACTTCATCTAACTTCTTAATCGTGTGTGACAGGAGATTTTTCCTCAGGAATTTGGAACAGTTTGTCACTTCGATGGAATTGCACGAATTAATAATAGGACAGAGTTTATCTGAGAAATGTAATATGTTTGCACAATACACTTCAAACAACCAATGTATTGCGCAAACATTATATTTCTGAGATATAGTCCGTCTTCTTGTTACATTGAGTGAAATTGCGTGAGCTATTACGTAGTTTGAGTTTTGGTAGAATCTATTTTATATTATATATCACACTGACCCAAAAACATTTGGTGCTAATTCTTTTGATCAAAATATAAAAATGTAGCGCTTTTTCTTTTCCAAAGTTCAACAAGTTAACAAACATTCCGTTAACTTTATAGTAGTAAAGCTTTGGTATTCTGGTAGATTTCAATTCCAGTTTAATCCGTTTATTAGAAATGTCACATAGTGAAACAGCATCATCCCAATATTGTTCGAAATGTTATCCAGTGGACGATACTGTTTCACTAAGTGATATTTCTAATAGACAATGGAATCCATCATTTTTACCCGCAGAGATAGAAATCAACCCATATTGTAAACCAACACTTTTTCATCCGTCCAGGATATGTTTGCGGGTTGAAATCTAACCATCTGGTGACCGGTTACATAGTAACTTCAAGGAGATAGTGATATAAGTTCATACACATTGTGCAACCTATGTTTAGTAACGCATTATCCATTTGTGAATCTGTAGTGATGAGGTGTTCACAGTGGTTTCGGAACCAGAAATACTCGAATCTATGTTTGACCACATCACATTAGCAAGCCACTGAATCTTTACCAATGTAAGATATCAAAGCAGTTTTAACAACTTCAGAATAATTAACATAAAATATTAGGGATTTTTAAGAAGAAAACTATAATTACCTGAGATTCCTTTGACAACTTGAGATTCCGACTGAATAAATTTGGTATGCTGGCAAGACGCTTAACTTCATACTGCCTTTTCCAACCCAACAGGGAACTGTAGTAAGATGCAGCTGTTGAATGCCGAGTTTTATTTCCTGTCAAATTTATATCGTAGCATCCAGGTCCTAGATTAACTGCGGAAACCTGTTTCATCCATTTCGGATGAACATTTATGACGTTTCTACTAGTGTTGCTTCCAAATGGTACCTTGCAGCTCATTTATGACTGCGAAAACCTCGTTTCGGTGTGGCTGAGCCTGAGTTGCAGCATTCAGAACGAAAAACCTTATCAAGAGAAGAACAAGAGAAAAAAAGTTGATTATTATATCTCTAAGCGTGAGGATTTACTCTTACATTTAATATCTTTTAGATACCATTTTATATATGAATTTGGAGCACACAAACTTAAACCTCAAGCTTCCAAAGCACACGTCCCATAACCTCTGCATTCACATATCACTACTACTTACATAGTTTCTAACCCAGGTACTTCAAAATGAAGTAAGTTTCCATGGTGCATGCATCCGACAAGTTTCAACCACCCTCACGGCTGTCAGCAATCAATCTCTCTCAGTTCATTATCAACCTCCCACAAAATCACTCCAAGATTACCCAGATTCTACTTCCAGTTTATTTCAGCTCTGCAGCTTTTGATAACGAACTGCGTTCGTGTAACATCATAACTCTGCTCCTGAAACCGTGCTCCAAACTTATCATTTGGGCTTTCAATGTCTGCATATTTCCTCAAACCAACCAACAAGCTTCGCTTTCCTAAACTCTGGCATTTCAGCTCACAGAAGTATTCTGCATTTGTGGGGTGCGCAGACAGGACCTAGTTGGGGTTGTTCACTCAACCTCATAACACCAATAAGACCATTGTGAGCGAAGCCTGATGATGCAAATACTAAGAAACTGACTAGACAGTCATCGAAAAGACGACAATGCCACTCACCCGAAAAAGAATAACATCATATCCAGTCTGCTTCAAAAGCACTGTTGACGACTACAGCGAATTCTTCGACAAAAATGAGAGGTCTACGTAACTAAGTATCTTCTGAAATAACGAATGAGCACGAACACACTCATGCTGGCTAAAAGCACGCTGAGGAGTGAAAAGGAATCAACTGTTGGTTGACAAATAATCTACTCAATGGGGATTAACAGTCGTAGGTAGAGGAGATATAAGTGACAGAAAACACTGCCGGGACAGGTAGCAGTATATAGCTATCTATACACATCAAAGAAATTGTTGCAAGACGTCAAAGGTGAATGAGGCTATTGTACAGAAAGATGGGTGTGATTCGCTCTCGGAGTCGACTTGAAGAATGAGTGGAACACTCTGAAAAACAGTACAAATGTCCTCAAAATGCCGTTGCGTTGCTCCACATCCAGTCAGATGCTCAAATAAAAATTGAAAAAAGGATCTCCAAAAATTGTAGAAGTCCAGAAAGCTGTAAGAAATGCGAAAAGGTGAAGAACAGCGGAGACAGGTGAGCTAGTATGGGGTGTGTTTAAGGAAGGTGGTCGCTGATCACTTTTTAAGATAACCCGAAACGTTTGTCAACTTATAAGAATCAAACATGATCCTCCTGACAGGTCCTAATGACTAACTGTCCCAGTTTTCAACAGGAAGGAGGAATTCTCTCGTAATAATCACATGTGATTCAGTTTTACTAAACTGGTGTCAATGGTACAATGTCCTACGATAGTGAAACGCCTAAGTGTAGTCCTGGGATTAGGAGATCAGCAGAACAAGACAACTTTCAGACCCAGCTATCAGTTCATCCAGCAGATATTCACCCTTAAACACGTTTTGGAATACAGGCACACATATCGGTAAAACACTACTTGTATTTCTCGACCTAAAGGTGCCATTTGACTTATTCGATTGAAAGACATTAAAATCTTTACCCCCAATGAATTGAGTGTCAGATAAAACATCACCAAGCTGAAGTTTATGTACCTGAACACTTGTGGGAATACTGTAAACTATGTTGAGTTGTCACTTAAGTAGTATGCGTTGAGTGATGTCCTTCAAGGATGCCCACTTTCTCCATTCTTGATCAACTTTAAGGCAGAAGTCCTTATGAAGGTCTCTTCCTCGTTTTCTGACTTCACTGAGGTCGATATTATCACAAGAGAGTCTTTTGTAGATCAAGAGTGTGCTAATTACATGGTCCTGTTGGGTGAATACACTAACAAGATGAAAAGTCATATGCGCATCTTGAGTGACAGTTTGAAAATGCTTAAGATGCGTTGCTCACCACCACCTAAACGCAAGTTTTTGCTCCTGCACAGATCTTCACTAGTGCCTTGTCTATCAATACAGAGTGAAATGGTTTATCGAGTTGAACACCTTTTTCACCTCGGAAGTCCGATCAGCCATGGATGACAAGTGGCTGAAGAAATCCCTGCATGAACACAAAAGGGTCAATTAACTCGCACCAACTTACACCACTTATTTCGCCACCAAGATATCCAGTTGTCTACTAAGAGATGATTGCATTGACCTTCAGTTCGTTCTGTTATACGGTATGTCTGTGAAAAATGACTATAGCTAAGGACATGAGAAGACTTCAGATATTAAATGGCGATTGTCTTCGTGGTGTCACCACGTCATTAACATAATGGTCAGTAATAGAGTTTCAGAAAGTAAAAGAAAGTTATTTGATGAGACTGTGAACTTTCATCAACTCACGTGGCTAAGACATGTGTTGCGCATGCGCATTCACCTCCTGTCTCAGCGTGCAATTTTAGCTGAAATTGGTTCAGGATGTAAATTTTGAGGAGCTCAGGTTAAATGTGCGACCATTCCGTGAAGCCATCAACTGTTGAGGTGAGTCGTTTAATGAAATGTAGACTTCTAGATTTGTGTCTACGTGGCAGCAGGAAGTAGCTGTTAAAAACTAGGTGACATGGCTTTTTAGGAATTGTCCTGGTGCGAACTTGACAGACGCAAAAACCAATCACTAATTATTCGGACTTGTTATATACCCACGAATACGAGACCAAGAAAGGACACGATAGCGTAGTCGGATGGAATAGTATATTTGGATAGTTATGCCAAAATACCGATGCGTTCCAACTAACTGGCTAGAGAGTCGAATACGAGCAATGCAACGTAACACGACAGCGTGCCGAATGGCGAGGATGCTTGACCGGGTGCCTTCAGCTTAGCGAGTCCAGTTAAGCTATCAAGGTCAGCATCAATGTCGAAAGTCGTCAAACCCTATGCTATTGATTTTGGGGAAGTGTGTGACGCTACAGCTTAAAATCTAAATAATTGGCCTAAATGCATTTATAAATTATCTTCCTCTTGGCCTTTATATCAAATTTCATCACTGCCCCATCCTTGCTTGTCCTTCTTTTATGACTTTCTTTCATTTAGAGCACTGTTCTCTTTATTTTTTTAGTCTTTTCTTTCTCAGTTCATTCTACCTCGGTGCTTTGATATGAGGTTCTAAGTTTTTTTCAGTGACCGACTCCTTACTAATGAAATTAGCTTTAGAACTTCTGTGTGCTTACGGCTTTTTTGAATAGACGCATCTTCTTAAATGCTACCTACCACTGACTAACCAGAAACTCACGGAGGCAATCATTTTGCTGCCGCTTTAGTTGATGCGTTGAAGTTAAGTGATCCATCATCTACAACATTCATAGATGCTATTGTTACTACATTTAAAACCTTTTAACCACCATATCCACATCTGAATACCTTTAATCACTACTTTCTTTAGTTTCCGGTAATACTCCTAAAACTTAGCCAGAGCTTGTAAGCAACATAATCTTTGAAACCACTTCTCATTCATATCGATAATAACAGTAGAAAACAACGGTTAGAGACTAAATGGTAAGGGTAAGAATCTACTAAATGGTACAAAGGTATGTAAGAAACAACTTTACATTTATTATTGAGATAAATTTCAGTATTCTTTTCCCTTCTTGCCTACTTTTCATGGTTTCAGACCGCATTTGACAGCATTCATAATTTTTTCATCCTTCGTTCCGACGAATTATTATTTTTTGTGCTAATAAAAATCGTGTCAATTTGAGCCGTTACGCTATAATGCCAGATTTCCTCTAAATGTTTTCTGCATCTGCCTACCTAGATGTCACAGCTCCCATATCTGTAGAAAGAGCTAGATAACTTTTTGAAGCCACAAACAGTCACCCCAGCATATCAAATGGAATAATGAAATGACTCGAAGTGTCTCTGAAAGAAACAAATTTATCGTTTTTCGAAATTTTTTCCTATTTGCAGTGTCTCATCATTTTCTTCACAGACAGCTCGTCTACCTTGAGTTATTACGCAGTAAGCCTGTGCAAGCAAACGACCCCAAAAACTAAGTGGAATATACCTTTAAGGTTCTTTGTAGGTGAATTAAGAATAACGATTCAATGAAGCCCTACAGAATTACTAATTCATATCGCCTCACTATTATCACCATGGTTTACGAAAGGTTGCATTCAAATTTCAATATCTATTTTAGGTCTCAGTGATGAAACGTGCATGCGATCAGCTCCTGTTTATTCTTGTAAAGGTCCATTTAAAAAGATTCATCTACTTATCGAATGGACTTGTCAACGCTGTTGACATCATATGCTTAAGCAAGATAATCAAGCCGTTTACCGATTCGTGAGAGAAATTCACATTTATTTTAAATAATTTTGACTATTGTTTTCAAAAATCCTACACATGTGGGTTTCCGGGTAGTCCACCTTAGGTGGACAGGGGGCATATCAGTCCTTAAGTCACTGGAAAGGATTCTGAGAGCTTGTATTAGATTACCCCTTTGCCGTTGATTGACATACGTAATATATTAAGGCACAATGACCTCTTCTCCCTGGATAAAAAGAATAGGCTGCCTGCGAAATCAGTGTAAACCCTCTATTACGCTTCACTGAGCTGACTATTTTAGAATGAAGCATTAGTTGCCTACATGCACATTAACGTGCGACACACAATCCCCAAAATCAATAGCATAGGGTTTGACGACTTTCGACATTGATGCTGACCTTGATAGTTTAACTGGACTCGCTAAGCTGAAGGCACCCGGTCAAGCATCCTCGCCATTTGGCACGCTGTCGTGTTACGTTGCATTGCTCGTATTCGACTCTCTAGCCAGTTAGTTGGAACGCATCGGTATTTTGGCATAACCATCCAAATATACTATTCCATCCGACTACGCTATCGTGTTCTTCCTTGGTCTCGTATTCGTGGGTATATAACAAGTTCGAATAATTAGTGATTGGTCTTTGCGTCTGTCAAGTTCGCACCAGGACAAATCCTAAATTGGTGAGCCCGACGTGATCACATATCCCGACCAATAACAAGTATTGAATTGGTGAGCCTGTTCCATTTTATATTTGTTTATTGTTTTCATTTCGATAACATTTATATATCCATTTACTACACTTTCTCATGTCCGACCACACTCCCAAGCTTATTCGTATTAAGCCGACTCGAACACGATCCAACTCGTGCCATATTGGCCAGACAATGCAGAAACATGGTTTCTGTATGCCGAGGCCGATTTTCGAGAACAGGGTGTCTCAGATCCTCATTCTCGATTTCTTGCTGTCATACGTCACTACCGCGAGAATTAAACAGGTATGTTACAGCAAACATGTTTAATCCTGAAGTAAGTGACCCTTATGCACTTCTAAAGGCCGCACTCTTGAAGAAAAGCGATCTCACAGATCGCCAACGTCTAGACGAATTGCTTCGTAACATCGAGCTAGGCAGCCACTCAGCTACTGAAGTCCTCGCACGCATGCGAGAAGTAATCGGTGCACGAACATTTGACGATGGTTTCCGAGAACTATTTCTCTCGAAACTACCACAACCGGTGCAAACCGTGTTGGTGACACTGCAGTCAGTCCCACTCGACGACCTGGCAGCCTCAGCAGATAAAATACTGGAGATATCCAGCAGACCCGTCTCCAACGTATATTCTATCTGCGACAAACCAGAGCGCCAGGATTCAGAGGTGACCAAGTTGTGCAACTCTGTGAAACGGTTGCTACGATCTCGAAGTCCTAGATCACGTAGCACTTCACAGAAACGCACCTTGGCGCATCGCAGCAAGTCGCGTGGTAGCCCTAAAACGAAACCCAACAGGGTGGAAAACCCTGAATGGTGCTGGTTTCATAACACTTACGGGATGAAGCCAGAAAATGTCGTAAACCATGCCGTTTTAAGAAGGACACAAACTCGGGAAACGGTCACGCCGGCACGTGCTCACGGCAACCGTAGCCGGCGGAAAAAGCCGTTTGCTCTACGTCACCGATTAAAACGAAAGTCCGCTACCTCGTCGACACCGGCGCAGAAGTTAGCGTTCTTCCAGCAACGACAAAGGAGCGTCATCTTGACCCATCCTTCAATCTTCAAGCAGCCAACGGCAAGGCAATCGCGACATTCGGGAGACGGTATGCCTACCTCAACTTAGGTTTACGCAAACCTATCCACTGGATTTTCCTCCTGCAGACGTCTCTATGCCCATCATTGGCATAGATTTGCTGAACCATTACGATCTACTCGTAGATGCTCGCCGTCGACGACTGATAGATAACAGCACCACCTATGTAGGTCCGAGTTTAGCCATCGTTAGGACTAAACAATCAGGCGACGCGTCCTACCAGGCAGTTCTGGAGAAATATCCAGAGTTACAGCAACCGAAACACACTCTTCCGTGCATAACCAGCAATGTTATGCATCACGTCACAACCACAGGTCCACCTGTGGCATCCAAAGCGCGCCGTTTAGCCCCCGATAAGCTCAAACGGCGAAAAGCGAATTCGACCACATACTCGACCGTCAAACAGTCCTTGGGCATCGCCATTGCACATGGTTCCCAAAAAGGATAGCAACGACTGGCGTCCAACCGGTGATTACCGAAGGCTTAACGCCAAAACAACTCCGGACTGCTACCCTATACCTCACGTTTACGACTTGACTGCAACCTTATGCGGAATGAACATTTTCTCCAAAATCGACTTGGTCAAAGCGTACAACCAGATACCTATGGCAGCAGAAGATATCGCGAAAACAGCCATTATTACTCCTTTTGGCCTGTTTGAATTCCTGCGCATGCCATTTGGTCTTCGGAATGCAGCACAAACATTCCAACGCTTTATGGACGATGCTTCCGTGGTTTGAATTTTGTTCATGTCTACATCGATGACTGTCTAATTGCGAGTCCAGATAAGGAAACTCACCTCAAACATTTGGACCTCGCATTCGAAAGACTTAAAAAACATGGCATCACAGTAAACTTACAGAAGTGTGAAATAGGAGTTGAATCACTCAGCTTCCTTGGGCATACCATTGACAACAAAGGTATGCGCCCATTGAGAGATAAAGTGGCGCGTGAGTCGCGACAGCTAGATTACATTTCCCCGGTTCATGTCGGACATCCGCCACGTTTCTGGAGCAAACAACTCCGCAGC